GCGTGCCTGTTGCGAGATTTTTCGCAAAGCAGGTGCCGCCGGCGCATACACCCCGGAGATGCAGTGTAGACCCATCAACAACAGCTCCCTTATCGAGTAACAAGAAGTCTGCTCGAGCTAGATCGTCAAGAGCAGACGGAGATATGAGCTGTCCGAACACCGTAGAGGAGCAGCAGCCCTCGTCATACGAAGTACAGTTCTGCTGCTGCTGTTCTCGTTGCTCGGTTTCGTTGTCTCTATGCTTCCATTCCTGCCGTATCCTTGCGCTACCTCCACACCGGTCCCGCAGTAAACCTTGAGGGTGCGATAGGTTCTCCTTTCGCCGGAGCTTCACAATATCTAGTGCGAAGCTCAGAGCCACTGGTCCACATGACAAGAGGAAAAGCCACTGAGAAAGCTGCGTCTTACACTGCGGCATATCGAACGTCCAGCCCTGCCGAGTACCAACCAGACCTTTCAGCAGAAACAACGCCTGACACGAACACAAGCAAACAGCACTCACTCTATCCAGCAGACATCAGCAGAGTAAAATCCCCACAAAGCACACGCGGGGCCCTCGGTGGGTTTCAGTAAGAGCAATGCTTCAGTTCATATATTTTGCTGAGCAGGAGGAAACGAGTTGCTTTTGCTTATACAAAAGTAAAAGTCTATCTGAATGTCAGGTGCCGTGCACCCCATGCACAGCGAACACTCACTACGCCGAGCAGCAATGTTATCACCGCAGACACGCCCACAACGACCCTGCATGCAGAGTCGAGTTCTCTATTCCCCTGCTTGCAGCTTCTGCGAGACTGATAGAACGCAACATCCTCAGCAGCATGCAGGACCAGGCCATCGATCCACTCAGTCCACCGCAGTATGCTCCCTGCAGCCAGCCCCCACAACACACGCAGCAGGCACCTGAGGCTGCAGAGGTTCCGTGCACTGCAAGAGTACGGAGGAGAGCACGCAACCCCAGCAGACTGCTGCTGCGCAGCTACCTCTGCCTGCGTCCGCTTCTTCTGCGCCT